TAGATACAAAATTATTGCAGATGTACAGTTGCCTGCACAGCAGCTGCTGCAGCTCAGGTGGGCTCTTTGGCTTAATTTACAAGCAGGCTGCAACATAGGCATGAGATGGCCAGACTGCTACTATTGTTGTTATTACTGCTATTACTTTTCACCCCCATACCTCTTCTAGATACCTCTCCTCTTTCTCCAGGGTTGAAGATGAACTTGTGTCCCTCCCTTCGGTCGTATTATCTGCTGGTGTTGCAACATGATAAATCCAGGAAGCAACAAATGCCACATTATTGCAGCAGTGGGAATTTGGGTATATTAAGTCGCTGCTTTAGGAGGGTTCTTGCCTAAAGAGTATATGGTCTAGACTGTGGTCGCTGTGTCTGCATGAAAAACAGACCTGGCTGACATAGTCTGTGCATCTATTATAGGCTTGTGAAAGTAGCATGGAGCTCAGCACAAACCCAGTATTTGCTCATGTGCTGCAGTTAACTCTTGCACTGCCTCTGCTGATAGGGGTATCTCAGATATTTAATACCAGCATTAGTTCCCCTCCCACTATCATGGCAGCAGGAGCATCTGTTTCAGGAGAAGAATGAAGAAATGTGCTTTTTAGGCTTACTGTCAGTCAATAGCTTTGTCGTGTCTTTCTTTCTCATTAGTACTCTGGGATCACTTGACCTTCCTTTAGTAATAGGGAGCTGTTTCTTGGCCACCAACCTTATATGACCTGCAAGGAAGGAGCATGGCTCCTTCCAAGGAGTTGGCTGGAGTGTGACTGACAATGAGGCATGGATGCAGCTCAACAGTGTGAGCACCTGGGGAGAAGTCATCCGTTTTTGCCAAGGCAGACCTGTGCTCTGCCACTGTTACTGTTCTCATGACCCTTCTGCTTTGGTACAATTTCTTTCTCATGCCGTAGCAGAACAGAGCAGAGCTCAGGACTTCTCTTGCTGCAGGGCTTCTCTTCTCTCAGGGCATGTGAGGGGTGCTAAGGTCTATTTAGAATCACAAACACTGAGAAGTAAAGTGAATAAACATAAAAAGTGCTGTCAGTTCTTCCCACCAGATCCAGCAGATGAACACCGTAAACTCTAATCAGCCATTTTTCTGGATCAAAAGGAAATTAAACAAGTTCATGGCCAAGTGAGCCTCATTTACGAGACACTTCCTGACACAGGCCCAGTGCAATTGGCTCTTACCACAGCTTAGGAGATAGGACACTTGTCTGATGCAGTCCAAGTTTCAGCATAGATGTCAGTGCCTAACCAATCTGTGAAAGCATCCGAAGTCCTTTTTCAGACTTGAAAAATATACATCTGTAGTTGAGAGCTGCCTAATTACAGCTTCTTCCTGAAGAAAAAGAAATAATTTTTCCTATACCCAAGTCAAACCAGTTAAGGACTCAGACTCTGGGACCATTTCCAAATGGTCCAGTTTGAAGTACAGAAAATGCTGGGATTTTGAGGCACTGGCTGTACAGACGGAAAAGGAAATGTCTTAATGAGATATGCAAAGCAGCATGGTCTCCAGGATAGGGCACCAGATTGGGATTCAGGAAACCTGCGTTGTTATCACAGCTCTGCTATTGCTTCTTTGCCTTCGTGTGCTTTAGATTCCCTTCTAGCCATCTGTTTGTCCCAGTTACTCAGAGCAATGTACCCAACCTTCCTGTACCCACGTCGCCTGAGAAATGTGGTGATGTTTCACCTCCCGCTGTGCCCGATTCCTTCCTCTCTTCCCCTAACCCAGCACATGGGGTGATAGTCACTCCTTCATCAATCCACACCTGGACGCAGCTTCCCTTCTTCCTTCCTTCTCCCCTGCGCTGGTGGCTGTGCTCCTGGCCCTGGCAGAGCTGGCACTGGGCTAACAAGCCCTGTTAGACCTGTCTGACTGTCCAGAGCCACTCAAATGTAGTCTTAGTCCCTGTTCCCGGTCCCGGCAATGTGAGATGGAGCTCCCTGGTTTGGCCTTGCATCCCGAGGAGTTTATCAGCTCGTGCCTGGCTGCCTGTACTGTCCTTTCCTCTTTAATTGGAACCATTGTTTTGAACTGGGGAGTGTGGATAATGGACCATAAACCCTTCAGTGCCTTGCAGTGGCTAATAGGACAGGTGTCCTATTTTAGGACATAATAATAATAATATTCAGGTGTTGCTGCTCCTGTGTGGGGAGCCTGGTGGAAGGTGGCTGCCGACATGAGCACGAGGGCACTGGTAGCCTGGGAGGCAACCCCTCTCTTGGATGATGATGCCTCTCTGCTACAGACCTGTCTTGGACACTCATGCCTAAGGGCCAAAAAGCAGTACAGTCAGGAACAGTCACTTCCCAGTGCTTGAGGGGAAATTGTTGTAGATTTAATAATAAAAGCAGTGCTGCTCAGTGTCCCCTCCCCACCCACGTGGAAAAGTTACTGAGGAACAGCACCACAGCAGAGAGGTTTACCAGGCGGTTTTGTAGAAGTGCTGGATCTCAGCATACTTGTGGAATCATCATTTGTTGATTCCTTCATATGTCCATTGTCAACTCCCCTGACAGTTCAACCCTCTGAAAGATTTGCATTTTCCTGTCCTGGAGAGGATGTCTGTAGACATAAACAAGATGGAGGTATTTTATCAGAATGCCCAAATTGTAGCATCATGTCTGTCAGAGCAAACCAATGTAACGCGTTCTTTGATTGTTTTGATCTTTTCTGTTACTGTCACTTATAAATGCCGTTAGACATCTTCCTGAGTGCACATGTATGGGAATATTCACAGGAAATTGGGAAGTACTTTGTGAATCCTTGCAAAATTTCAAATAATTATGTTTTAGCAGCCTGACAATCTATGCAATGAATTCAAACAGACAATATTTTTAGTAGCTCATGAAAAATAAAATTCTTGATTCACATATATCACATGCCTCTCCATTAGAAAGAGCAGAAAGGGCTTTGCATTGAACTTCAAGTTTTATTGCCGTGACTGTAGGAACCTGCACTTACTCTAAATTCATTCCATTGTTTGTAGTTTGAAACAGTCAAGACTACCTCAGTTCTGATTACTGTTAGCTGAGAATCAGTCTCTAAATGTAAATGTAAATGTATCCAGAAAAACCCTTGTCCAGCACCTACTTTGACCATTTCTCCATAACTGTTAAATCTACCAGTAAGCCTCCACAGTCCAGGAACTCCAGCTATGATGTGTGAATGAATCAGAGGCTGCTGGAATCAGGAATGGGGCCAAATAGACTCTAGAGATAGCTATTATTGAAAGGTAATTGAGTGGAATGGGCAATGGAACAAGCTGAAGAAAAATAGAAGCCCCTCAGGATGTTCACACTCTGCCTTTTCCCCTGCAGCTGAGGTCCCAGGTTCTTGGTTGACTAAATCTGTTTTTCTGCTTCTCTCAAAAAAAAAAAAAAAAAAAAAAGCCTAAAAACTGCTTATGTTTTGTTTTCTAATGCAAAACTCTGTACTCCCATCCATGCTAATGTGAGAAGAGCTGAGATGGTCCGTTTGGGCTTGCCTTCCTGTGCCTGCGTAGGGTATAATGTATGCGTTCTGGAAAGGAAAACTGAATTGAAAATTATGAATCTTGGCTACCTAGGAAGTTAAGCATCTCTCTGCACACAGGCACCGAAGAGCATCTTTAGTGAGAAACGGAGAGCTTCTCACTACATGCACAAGTGGGAATTTAGATACCTAGTTTTAGCTCTCCTGAATCTAGCTGTGAGGAATTGACCTATGAATCAGAATTAAGGCATTTATTTAACAATATTTAAATACTTCTAAAAATTTGTATTCTGCACAGTACTAGCCTATATGTATGATTTCATTCTCATTCCCCTTGTCCACCCTCCCTCATTCATTGTCACTAGCACATTCCCTCTTTTCTGTCTGTAGTAACAGAGTCTAGCTTGAGGTGAGATTGTGCTGCTTGGGTGGAAGCTAGATCTTGCTTTGATTAAACAGGCAAAACCAGAAGGACTTTGATACTACATGTGGGCTAAAATGTAAAATACAGAAGGTACAGTAAATAGACTGCTAAAATCATCAGGCTGCTTGTTATAATCTGGAAGCAAAGAAAGCAACAGAAGATTTTGCGTGTTCCCGTGAGTTATTGGCAGGTAATATAGATCTTTGTTTACAGCCAGGTACCATTCGTGATCCTACTGGTGATTCACCTAGTCCTTGAGTATGATGTTTCTGTGCTGTGCTTTCCCCATTTGTAAAAGTGAATTATTTGTATTCATTCCCTAACGTAAAAGCTTTCAGACCCAAGGAGGAAAAAGTCATACAGAGCCTGTTCCCAAGTCCACTGAAGGCAACAGAAAGACCCTTATAAAAGACTAAGTCACTGAAAGCACAGCATAGGACTCATTGTACAACTGCAGTCAATGCTGTGGGGATTAACTCACAAATTCATAATAAAATATTTAGTCTCATGATGGAATTTCTGTGAACAATGGGTAGGTACTGTTCACAATGTATTACATCAATAATAATTCTGAAAATGTATTAGTTATGCCTGTTTTAGGGCTTGTAATTTCAGTTCTATGAAGGTAGAATAAATAATATTTCCATCTGTAACATGTAACATACAGTGTGTTACAAAATGTTTTTAGAAACATTCAGGCCATTTTGGGATTATGTGGTCACGGGTGTTACAAACTGTTTTTCAATTCTGTAAGCATTACTACTTCATTTAAATTTGAATTTATTCAGAAACATTCTCTCTACCATCCCTGTGAATATAGTGGGTTTTCTCTTACAGTGCTCTTTGGAATATGGAAAGGAAAAAGGTGGTGTGAGATTTATCGTTGGACCAGTAATCTTTTCATGGACCCTCACCTAAGCAAAATGTTAAGTGTGACCATTAAGTGGGCAGGATCCAGAGTGTACTGAGGCTGTGGTTTGGGGGTTTCTGGGTCAGAGTCAAAATGTGAAGTACTTTTGTATCCAAACACAGTTTGAGAGTAATATTTTTCAGTGGTCTTGAGTGAATACAGTGTCCTCTTCTGCCCATGAAGGTTACAGCAGAGTTAGATGCCTGGAATGAAGATCTGCTGAGGCAAATGAATGATTTCAATACTGAAGACCTCACTCTGGCTGAGCAGCGTTTGCAGCGTCACACTGAGCGGAAGTTGGCCATGAACAACATGACCTTTGAAGTCATCCAGCAAGGGCAAGATTTACACCAATACATCATGGAGGTCCAGGCTTCAGGTGAGCAGAACAATCTGATCTCTATTTTACATGATAAAAAAACAAAAACCAAGAAAATCCCAAAACACCAAAAATGCATATCAAGCAAAAATTCCCCCATACATACCAAATACATCAGCTTTTAACATAAGTGAGTATGGACAATACCTGTCTTTCCGCTCCCAGAACTGTTCCATAGGTTTTGGGAAATCTTTGATTCAGGTTTATATGTCAAAACTTGCTCTTTCTTTGAGACTGAAACTCATTGAGGAAATAAAACTGACTTCCAGGTTTTGTTCAGAAAGTTTCACAACTGCAGGATGGCATTTGTGATCAATTCCAAAGTGGATGGAGAGGGGAGGGCAAGACAAGTTACACTGATAGGTCCTTGTCCTTGCACCGGCTCAGAAACAAGCACTGCAGGGAAATTACTTGTGAACTGTATTAACCTTCTTTAAATGTCTGGAGAATGCAAAGCAAGAGCAATTCCTGTTCTTTCCCTCCCAATTTGCACTTTCAAAATAAAAAGGATTTTTATATGCTTTTATTCTTTAGCAAACATTTTACCTCTAGGCACACACCTTTTAAAAAATATGGTAGTATTCAGCCTGATTTGGCAGGCTGAACTCAGCAGAGGCTTAAGGACTGCTACAAGAGCATGTTGTGAACTAGACAATCCTGTGCCTTGTGAACCACATGTGTGAGTTTCTATGAGATCTATCCATTTTATGCCTGACCCTGTGCTTCACCTCTCTTGCTTTCTGGTGTAGAAAACTTGTCCTAATACATCAGCTAAGATGCTCCCCACCCCCGCCCACGCCTGGAAGAATCTCAATATGAGTAGGAATCTACGGGAGGTAAAGAATATGATCCAGCACAGAGCAGAGTCAGGAATCTCAATGACTGAGTTTTAAGAAAAATAAAAAAAATGTAAAAGCTGTGTTTGTCAAGAAGTTAAAAACGACTTCTTTTGGATTGCAAACAAAAGATTAACAACTAAATGAAGTGACTTATAAAATGATTTTATAAGATTATCTAAGATCACTTGCTGTGAATTGCTCTCAAAGGCATGGAAGAAGCCTCATGGGGATGTAGGGTAACTGCCGTTAATCAAAGGTAATGGTCATGTCTGCCATGCACAGAATGCTAAGTGCTCTTCCTGAATCCCATAGCGTAGTTGTTAAGGGATGATTGTTCTTACTGCCAGAGCTGTGAAGTTGCAGGTGTTCTGGGAAATCAGCTGCTATTGCTGCTTCCTATTGTACCGTGTCACCACTGCTGCAATCAATACTCAGCAGTAGCCATAGAAGATAAAGCCAGGAAAAAATATGTTTGTTTTTTTTTTCAGGGACATTCTACCTAACCAGCCACTTTTAATCGACCAGATTTCTTCCCTTCCCTATAATTCTCTTTGAGCTTTATTCTTTTTATCATGTCACACAGGAAACTGATGCAATTTTGATTACTCTGGTGTTTGACTTGGAGGTCTTCAAGCTAGTAAGTCTGTCAGATAAAATTACATGCAGGTTTTTCTACCCGTGATGCCTTTTTCACTTGGAAGACTTGTGCAGGCAGAAAAAGAAGGTTTTAGACATTTGCCCATGATTTTTGCATGTCTGATGAAGATTTGAAGCAGTGATTCTTACCAGGCTGTGGAGAGTCTGGAAATCCCTGTGAACATTGTCATGTTGGTGCAATAAATACGGTGGTCCTGTGATGCACCATTTCAGAGTCTGCAGACATTCAGGGCATCCATGCATGCAAGGCATCTATGCAAGTCCAGTATTTCCAAAGCTCCATATATCTCAGAGTTATGTTCCTGTAATTTTCTTTCCACTACTCCAGCACATGTGAGTGAGCCTCGTTTGGGTTAGCCTGTTTTCACCATCAGAATAATTATTCTTCAAAGAAGTGTTTGCTTTTATTAGGGGATATGTAAGAAATGGAAGTCAGGTTGTGTTTTCTGAAATTTTGCAGTATTTTCAAATTGTCTTCATGTCTCATTAAAATCTGTGTCCTTCAGGAAACGTATTTGCATTTACAGAATATTATAACAGTATTCTCAAGAAGAATGGGCTTTTTAATGAGCCAACACTTTTTAACTTAAAGTCACAGTTAAGAGTCACTCATGGTTTACAAACCTACCTTTTTATGTCTTAGAAGCAGTTTCACAGCATCATTAAGGTCGGAAAAGACCTTCAAGATCATCAAGTCCAACTGTCAGCCTAACACTACCATGCCCAATAAACCCTGTACCAAAGTCCCATTTCTAAATGTTTTTTGAACGCTTCCAGTGATGGTGACTCCACCACATCCCTGGACAACCTGTTCCAATGCTTGACCACTCTCTCAGTGAAGAAATTTTTCCCAATATCTAATGTAAGCCTTCCCTGGCACAACTTGAGGCCATTTCCTCTTGTCCTATCACTAGTTACTTGGGAGAAGAGGCCAACACCTGCCTCACCACTCACCTCCTTTCAGGTAATCGTAGAGAGCGATAAGGTCTCCCCTCAGCCTCCTCTTCTCCAAACTAAACAACCCCAGTGCCCTCAGCCCCTCTTCATAAGACTTGTGCTCCAGACCCCTCACCAGCTTCGTTGCCCTTCTCTGGACACGCTCCAGCACCTCAACATCCTTCTTGTAGTGAGGGGCCCAAAACTGAACACAGTATTCGAGGTGCGGCCTCACCAGTGCCGAGTACAGGGGCACGATCACTTCCCTACTCCTGCTGGCCACACTATTCCTGATACAGGCCAGGATGCTGTTGGCCACCTGTGCACACTGCTGGCTCATGTTCAGCCGGCTGTCAACCAACACCCCCAGGTCCTTTTCCCCCGGGCAGCTCTCCAGCATTGCACGGGGTTGTTGTGGCCCAAGTGCAGGACCCTGCACTTGGCCTTGTTAAAACTCATACAGTTGACCTCAGCCCATCGATCCAGCTTGTCCAGATCCCTCTGCAGAGCCTTCCTGCCCTTGAGCAGATCAACACTCCCACTCAACTTGGTGTCATCTGCAAACTTACTGAGGGAGCACTCGATCCCCTCATCCAGATCTTTGATAAAGATATTAAGCAAGACTGGCCTCAAAACTGAGCCCTGGGGAACACCGCTTGTAACCGGCTGCCAACTGGATTTAACTCCATTCCCCATGACTCTCCGGGCTTGGCTGTCCAGGCAGATTTTTTACCAGCAGTAAAGCAGACTTTGTCTAAGTCAAGCCTGAAATACACTGCAGAGATGATGTTGGGGAAATTTATACAATCCCTACCTGTTATGTGGAAAAATCAAAGCCCCTTTTTTTCTTGGTTGTCAAGCTAACATCATTCATGTCTCTTCCCAGTGTTGCATTGCTTAAAAGGGAAGTGCAAATCTATTTAATTTTGTTTGTGATGCCATTTATAGTTAGTTATAATCACAGTTTATTTTGCAAGGGAGAGGATACTAAACTTTTCTGTCACAGGCTTTTAATAGTTCAGCCTAAGAACAGTTTCAAAACAGCTTTGTACAGGTCAAAAAGCAATAGCCCTTCTTTACACTGAATACCATCACACATTGCAAACAGCTCAGGTGTAACTAATGTATGTTTTGTAGGATGCCGGTCAGTGTGGCTCAGTACTCTTTTCTGTAATACTTTTTAAAAACATTTTTAATTCATTATCCTTCACTTGATATCTGCTGCACTTGTTGAGACATTAGAAGAAAATGGCAACCAAGTTCGGTTTATCAGAAAATCAGCTGTGTTTTTCTATCTATCAAAACACAATGTAAAGATAATATGTATGAAATTATTCTGAAAACAAGGCTTTCTCTTTTGCAAACCAATCTTTGAGAAGAATAAGTGCTTACTGCATGCACTGGCACTGTAGAATAAATCTGCGTGACATATGACAAGCAACAAAGGGCAGATCATTCATCACAGGAGCACAGGCTGCTGGATAGCATCCCAGGCAGTTCACTGATTGCTGCTGATGAGTTAGCACAATCAAACCCATACCAGCTGAGTGTGCATGAAGGAAAACTGTGCATTTAATATTGAATAGGTGTGGTGAAGTCAAGCATACAAAAAGCCATCATGTCCTGAGGATACAGAACCATATGCAGGCTAATTGTAGCAACAATGTCTGGTGTCTGGCAATTGAAAGGAACTTCGCTCCCAAGAATAGAAACATATATTAAATTTCCCATTTTAAATGGGAAGCCAGGGGCCATTCCACTTTGTTTGGTAATAAAGAAGATGCTTTGTTTTGGCTGGGAAAGGGAATAATCCAATCACTTGCGTTCCCATGTGCTTTTTCTGATAAAACCAGAAACCAGGAAAAAGGGGATAGTGTCAATCATAAGGTCATATTCATTTTGTGTACTTTCCTCTGCAGATATCGCTGTGAGAGAGAATGAAAGTCACAAGTGTCTGAGGAGGATAAAGGGGGAAGAAAAGGCAACTTTCTAAATGTTTTTTAAAATAGTGTCTAAGCCTTTTGTACAGCACCGTCTAATTAAGACATTTCTTTTTTAATGTCCTATTATTCCATTAAATCAAATGGTTTTGGAGAAAAGTGTAGTGTTTTCTCAGCATTACTGCAATCTGATTATTTTTATATCGGGTTCCTGATCCTCCCTGTATTGAGGACAACGGCAAAATTCCAGTAGACCTCAATAAGGAAGGAGTCAGATCTTTATTAGTTTATAATCACAAGGATTACAGTAACATGGGATAACGTCATATTTCCTCCAGCCAAACTTTCCCAATTGCACTGGTAATGTACCCAGCAATGCTCTTGCACCAGTGTAATAAAGAAGGAAGATGTGAAGCTCTGTGTTGTATTTCCTGTAATCACTACATATAATGCTCATAGGGTCATAAGAAAATTCAGGAGTTAGGAAGGGACTCATGAGGTCTCTATTTCAACCTCCTGATCAAGTCAGTGTCAGCTATGAAATCAGACCAGCTCATTCAGGGGTATATAAATTTCATGCAGGCTGCAAGGGATGGGGAATGTGGTACTAAGCTGTCTTTTCTCTCTGGTATGTGAGGATTGGATGAAAATCAGTCTACGGAATAGTTCTGAATGAAGTATAAGTTGGCTTAAGCTAAATTGTTGTTAATGATTCTCTAAAGTGCCCAGATGGAAAAAAGGTTTGCACTGTGGAGGTCCACGCACTTGTGGCATTACTGTAGACCTGGTGACTAGAGTTTACTTCCTTTATTTCATCTTTCTATTTTCTTCCCCATGTTTTTTCTCTTCTAAGTTCTTTTCGACTTGCATTTCTAAAGTATAAGTTAATGAATTACTGTAAAAAAGGGATGTTTTTTCTGGTTTTTTGTTTTTTTTTTTTTTTAATTCAGTGTTCATGTAAGTTTTTGAGCAAGGCTGTGGTTACATCATGTCCTACTAGCCAAATGCTGATGGGTGACATGAGAAGCGATCACCAGAGAAACACAACTTTGCAGAAAAATGTAGTGATGCAAAATAGGAAGCTGGGAAAGCCAAATATTACATGTCAGAGAGTTTAGTGAGAAAGAATTACTCAGAGATACAAATCAGCATGTTAGGTGGCAAAAAGTTTTATAGCTTACATTTGTGCAACAACTGAAGTTTCAAGTAAGCGCAATGATATCTCTCTCTCTGCATGTTGCAGGCATTGAGCTGATCTGTGAAAAAGACATTGATCTTGCGACACAGGTTCAAGAACTGCTGGAATTCCTTCATGAGAAACAGCATGAGCTGGAGCTTAATGCTGACCAAACTCACAAGAGGTTAGAGCAGTGCCTGCAGCTCCGGCACTTACAGGCTGAAGTCAAGCAGGTGAGAGTTTTTCACCACACTTATGGGTCTTAAATGGGTTTTCCGCCATTACATAGGTGCAAGCTGTGAAACCAGCTTCTGCCAAGTCGCATACCTTTAAGTGGACAATATTATTCCCCCTAACAGTACTCTATTTGCTGACAGATTGCAGCATGACCCTTTACAAATAACGAAGGGCTCTGTTCCCTCTAGTGCACACATATTTGGCTTTGTGAATAGTTATGGGAAGTCTGTGCAGAACTGACCCTGTAACTTCCCAACTGGATAAGCTGCTTCAAACTCCATGTGTTCTGGGAATATGATGATTTGATTTGGGATCCAGACTTGAGCTGTTGTGGAGAATTGGCCCAAAGCAAAAGATAACCTATCTGTGAGGTCTAGTATGACATTACACTAGTTTCACCTTTTCATTTATTGCTATACATCTGTTGACCTGCAGGAATCTTTAACGTCTTCTGGGTGAGAGAAAAAATTCTGTCTGTGGTCTCTAGATCCTAGGACTTGTTTAGCCATCTTAGTATTGTTACATTGCCTTTCTTCCAGATTTCATCCTAAGATAGGCAATTGTGTTCTGCCTTCCTAGGTTTCCCCTGATATTTAATTTGAATGCCTCACATTTCTTTGTTTTCCTTCGCTACACGGGATACTGCTACACTTCCTCCTTCCTAATCCATAGATGGCTTCACACTTCAGTGTATATCTGGTTTTCAATGGAATGGTCTTGGTTTCATTAGGAAAACCAAGAAATTTTTCCAGACACCTGGAATATTCAGGTTTCCATTTTACCCCTGCAAATGGGGGCGTTTTGTGTTTGGGGTTTTTTTTCCAAATACTACAAGGTGTTCATGAAAAAATTTGCTTCTTTGTTTACAAAAAAAAAAAAAAAGGCTATACTGAGTGCTCAGTACATATGGTCATAGTTATTCTTCCTTCAAAAGTGAATATTTGAGTGATGCTTTGTCTGCATTGTTTTATCATTGTTGGCAAAAAAATCCTTCATTCTCACACAAGTTTCAAGCTAGAAGCTGGCAGCATTAACATCAATGTATACATTTCCTTTCAGAGTCCCATTTGATATGAATATTTTGCAACCCTAAATAAAAGCAGCACAGAACTCTCCTAAATTTTTGTTTTGGAAATGTGGTCATTTTGCATTTGTGATAATTGAAGGCCAACTCCTCATGAAGCTCCAGAGCTCTATAGAGTGCTTTGGCTTTCTTCTGAAAGAAAAGAAAAAAAAAAAGAAAAAAAAAAAAGAGACTCTCTGATATTCATAATCACCACCTTAATATGATTATGGCTGTATCTTTTTTTCCATAGTTTCCCAAGGTTTCTTACATACAACTTAGCTAAGCTTTGAGTTTTGTGCGTTAGATTTGTGATGACGTAGAGCCATTTTAAGTTATGATAGAAAATAGAGAGGAGTAATATGTGTAGCAGAAATGCAAAAAATGCGAGTTATCGCTGTTCAGCCAAGTGTCGCTTGGCCATGCTGATGTGCCCGTCGGTCAGCCCTGTGAGGGCTCCTGGAGCCATACAGTGGCAATGCAGCACTTTCTGCAGGTACCTGATGTTGCCTCATTATCAAGTATCTGTCGGGCCTGAACTATTTTACAAATCAAAATCTAACCAAAGGAAATGGTTTTAAGACTGAACTATCTAATACTTATTGTGAGAGGAGAACAGATGCCTTGAATTAGTATTTCCTTAACGGAGCTTGGGACCATCAGAGCCTTCATTACTGTGTGACCTTTCAGCAAACTAATAGTGAAGAATCATTTTATTTGTTCAGCTGAATACTAAGGACTCCTTTGCTAATTAACCTATAAATTACCACAGCTACAGTTTCCCTCAGAAAGAGGCAAGTTAAAATATATCTGTGCCCTATCTATTTGGTTTCCTGTAGATGAATCATATTCCCAACCATTTAGTGAAATTGGGAGACATATTGATTTTGGCTTGTAGCTCATCTCCAGTCTGGTCCAGGTTTCCTTCACTTTCATTTTAGTGCATCTGAGACGACGGATGATGTCATTACTGGATTGCTCTCACTCTTGTGGATCAGTTGAGATGTGGTTGCCACAAGACACCTACTTTAATTTTGGTTAAGTTCTGCTGACATAATAAAATTGGTCAAGGCTGCTACATGTACATGTGTTAGCATTTGGATATAATGGCTCATGGAAACAGAGTCTTTTAACTGTCTCTATCTATTTAACTCTCATTTACCAGGGATTTCTGCTTTGTATCATATGCACCCAGAGTTCGAATGTCAAGACAATGAATCGAATTTTGGAGCCATTAAAGCGGAACAATTCCAAATGAGATGTTCTGTGAACTGCTTTAGAGTGGAAATAGTCTAGATCAGTGATTCACAAACTCTTTGTTATTAAGAAAGATCCTGCCCAAGGCTGATTTCCCCTCATTTGGTTCCCAGTCATTTCTGACAGAAACTACAGAGCTTGGATTGCTTACGTAAAAGCAATAGCAGAATAGAGTTGTGGAGATCAGTTTAAAAAACAGAGTCTCTAATGCTGTGCTTACAAATGTTTGGTTTCCCTATCCCCTTATTTTATCTTTGTATGTTTTATTTCTTTTTTTGATAGGTGTTGAACTTGACCTAATTTACTCCCAGACATCCTCACAATGTCCCACTACACTTATTTTCCAGGTTGTTTGGAAGTGTATTTATTCCCTTTCTTGTGCCTGTTATCCATCCACTTTTGCTTTTGGCATTAAATTTGCTTCCAGGTGAATACGCCAAAGGATGATGGAAAGTAGTCATTTGAGAGAGACTGAATATATTGTGTTTTTTCCCAGTCTAATGTCACAGAACTCTTGGAAAGCTGATGCAGTTTTGAACACAGCTAAAATTAAGAGAAGGTGTCTTTGCTGATGGTTGTCTGGGGTAGCAAGAGCCTCTCAAAGAAGCTGCAAAGTGTCCAGAGATGTAAAAGATTCACTTATTTTCTTTTTCAACTTAAAAATCTTTTCCCACATAACTTGATGGGTATCATTAACAAGGCGCTAAGTCTTTTTAGAAAAGTCAGAGAAAGCATTCTGACTAAGCTAAACGAGCAGGCAGAAACACTAAGTCAAGCAGAGCTCTTGTTTCTTAAGGAAACCTGCACAAGAGGTGCCTCACTTTTTATTTTTCCTGTACGGTCTGATTCTGTGCTCAGTGAAGATGCCAGAGTTTCAGTCTATGCATTTTAGAAAAACTTGGTACTATTATTTAATTTCAGAGGAGCTATATGCAGAAGTATTCTGTTTTAAGCAAATTAGAGTCCAAGGTGGGAGTTGTTTCCTAACTGTGATGGTTGCTATGTTAGACAACCCATGCCTTGCAGTGAAATTCTTCTCCAGTGGCAAGTGGCTTTTATCTAAGATGCTGTCAATGTGTTTTCTGCTTCTCCAGTATAAAAAAAAAAAAATGGTTAGGCCTTTTAAGAGAGTCTTTGGAGATTTATTTAACTCCAGAATTATTTAATCACTGCTTCTACTAAGTTGATAAAATCTGTAATTTGTAGGAAATGTCTGTTTAAAGCCATCTTTTGCTGCTGGCCTGTCTGCACATTGCCAGATAATGGTGAATCTATTAACACAGACAATGATCAGGGAATTATCTTGGTGCTGTATTAGCAGCTTCTATACATATTTTAACGAAAAGTTATTAAGCACTATAGAAGTAGGAGTCAATTTGTGAGTGGGTCTTGTAAAACAGACACAAATGTATAAATGCTCTCTTCCAACCACTTCACAGTCTACTTCCAAACCAGTGACACAATGAAAGGTGCTGCAGGTGACTGGGTTTTGCACTTAGACTTAAGAAGTTTGGGTATGCAACTGAAATTTTTTCTTACTGTATGTAAACAACACACACTAAAAAAAAAAAAAAAAGAGGAAAAAAAAATCTAAGAGAAAAACATTACTACGGAAAAAGCTGATACCACCCCAAATGAGGCCCTGGCATTTAAGTGTTAGACTTTTGTAAGTAGAGTGGGGTCAATATTTAAGTTCTTTCAAGCAAAAGTTGCTAATGCTTGGGTGCTCATGGGGCCTGGAAGGGGGAGTGCAGGACCCCCACAGTGAGTGCCTGAACCCACACTCTGGGGGAAGGCAGGAGGGACACAACTCAGGGGTTGGTCAAGAAGGGTGCCGTAAGCATTGCTGACAAGATGTAGTCCATCAGAGCCTGACCCGAACTCCTTTACCCTGAATATTTTTGAGTCAACAAGACAGTTGTGCAGAGGAATGCACAGGTATCATTAACACTAGAGGAAACCTGGCTGCTTTCTGTTATGTGGTCCCTCATCCTCCTTACTCAACCTTGTTGCCTATTAGTTTTTCACTAATCAAGTTGCTTTGTTTTAAGACTGAGGTTTCCAGTGATTTTGTTACTATTTAGAGATTTGGAAGCTCAGATATTTGTATGAAATCTGCATCAAAACCTCTGTGGCAGGTTTTGAAAATTTCAGCTCAAATGAAAGCTGTTCCCAAGAGGATGCTGTCATGTCCTGATTGTATTGGGTTTTGGGTTTGTTTTTTTTAAAAAAAAAAAAAAAAGCTGCTGCATTTTTAGCATACACACTCAGTATTTTCTACACTCTAAATGGCCCAAGCCAGGATATATCATGGTATATAAAATGTGAAAGCATGTCTTGCTTTTTGGTGTCCTCACTTCAAGTCTTTCCTAGATACAGTGATCCTTTGGTTAACTTCAGCTTTTGGTACTATGTAGTAGGTAATAACGTAGCTTTCCTGTCTGATGGATTATAGAAAATGCCAGCCAAAAAGATTGCCATAGGATAACCCCTTTTCTTTTCTTTTAAATATTTGTTGCATTTCTCACAGGAACAATAACACCTGCTGATGAAAGAGAGAAAGTTGACAAATGAAATTTTCCATAGTGTTGTACTGAGCAGAATGTAATTTTCTATAAATTAGGGTCAGCTACATGTATAGATGACTCCCCTTTCTTTCTCCTAGGGAAAACTCATTTTCTTCCCCTACAGGGAACTGAATGGCTATAACTAGGGTGATACATGATGTAGGGATAAAAACCAAAACAACAGAAAATCCCTATTTCTTTCAGACAATGTAATGGATCACTTGGTGAAAATCATGGCACAAAAGGGAAATTACTATGTAGAATATTGCAGCAAAGTGAATTTTGGAGCTTTGTAAATCATGAGCTAAATGTAGGGCAGTGATCGGGCAGTCAGGATTTCCTGTGCATCTCTGAATTGAATTCAGAAACTTTCTGGCTTTATTGGTATAATTTGACACCCACACAGGTAGAAAATAGGCTTTGAGACAAGACAGCAAAGAACTTGCACGTGTGTTCTGGGTGCTAATTTTCCAAACACATGTCTTAAAATAGCAGAAAATGTTGCTGCTTAAATGAGTAAATACAAGCTTGATAGATTAATTATGTATATTTAGGATTTGATTCTGCTGTCATTACAGCATGAATTGCATGTCTACAAATAATCTGAATATCCCTGACTTAAAGCCTCTTGACTAAATATAAAATGCAAGACCTGGAATTTCTTCCTAGCTCTGCATGCAGGTGGAAACTCCAACTGCATCTTAACTCTCTGTCAGACAAAACCAACTGTGTCTTCTCCCTCTTCACCCCTAAGCTCTGACTTTTGTGTGAAAGAAGCGCGGGCAAGGGGAGCAGAGAGGAGTTGCAAGGTCCGTCATTGCAGTTGAAAATTTGAGAGATACATGTTTTTAATTTCAAATCTCTCTCATTACGCTTTGTGGTTTTGCCCTGGGGTATCTGCATAGGGGAACATTCATTTTTGTGATCAAGCCTTGGAAATGAAGGCTATTTGCTATCCCACTATCCATGTAAATATTTCGGGAGTTTAATTCTTCAACCAATAACTTCTTCAATAAGATCTTTGCCCTCTAAAAATTTATGTCATTAAGTCCTTATCCTAGGATTTCTTTCTGCTCAGTGGGTCAGCCTGAGACCACATTGGGCAAAGTACCTTTTTGTCAGCCAGGCTGAAGTATTTTCAGATCAGTGACTACATAAACCTTTGCTGAAGCAACCTTTCCATAAGCACATTCTTTCTTTACAGGTGCTTGGCTGGATCCGGAATGGTGAATCGATGCTGAATGCAAGCCTTGTCAATGCAAGCTCCCTCTCTGAAGCTGAGCAGCTCCAGCGAGAGCATGAGCAATTTCAGCTGGCCATAGAGGTAACACGAATAAGTTAATTTTGTTTCTCCTTCCCAGGTGAACATCATACAAAAGGTTATCTCCTGAGCATCAATCATTGCTTGCTTGAAGGAAGGGAAGGAATAAAAACTTTGGAAAATGAACTTATCATTAAACTCGTAATGCAGCCAGAGGTTAATAGTGAAATAAATTATTTATCATCTGCAGTTAATTCTTCAGCTTTGGTAAAAAAAAATAAGATTAAAATTCACAAAGTGATCTGAAAATGGGAAAAGTTTGTGAAGTCAATTTCTTCCCATGTCCACTATTTGCAGATCGTTTCACAGCATTCATTTATGAATATCTTTGTTACTGGATAATGCTCTCACATGAAAACTTTGTTTCATTCAATCTCCTCTTGTTGGCAACAGAAGAGGTGTTCATTCAAACCCACATTCTCAAATAACTTTACTTTGAAGAAGAGGCATGAGGGGCAATTTTTAAGAATTGCCTACAGAACCGAGCTTTGCCCCTGCTTGCCCGGGAGTAGCACATCTTTGACCTGATCCTTGAAAACTATGTTGTGAGCCAACTCGTTTGCCTCACTCGCAGGACCAGGACATGACAGGAGGGAGTAGCACCTCCTTTGAGCTGCTTTCCTTTGAATGAGAAGGTAGTGGAGGGCTATGGACTCCCCTGAGTAGGGCACTACAAGACTCGTAGCTCAGGACTTTATATATCTTTGTCATTATGAACAAACCCTGCACTCAGAGGGTGTGCTCACTCTGGTTGCGAGAAAGAGGGGCCATGGCTTTCTCCTGTTGCTCCTTAACATGTTGTATATGCTTCCCAGATTATGCTAATTGTTACCTTTTTACAAAGCAAAGAACAAGTTGGAAAATCCCATTCTGTGCTTTGTAAATATTTGAAAATAACCAAAACTAAACCAAACTTTAAACTATGAAAATAATATTTCCATAATGGAGATTTGAAGCAATGCCTGATTTAGGGGAGGGGGAAACTGTCTTTATGTCTTCTGGTAAACTTTAAATAAATCGATATACATTATAGTGTTGCTAGTAAGTATAAATTTCAGATGATGACATATTTTCATCCAGCTCCACTCATACTAAGGAAGGAGCAGCTGTTGCAGCTCCTAAGGGAAAAGGAAGAAGGTTTCTATCAACTCTGTATTAGCTGGCTGGTACCAAGCTGTGCTGACCACATCTTGGCAGCCGTCGCCAGACAGCAGTGGGGAGCAAGACACCCACTGGCTGTGTTATCGCAGCTTGCTGCCATTGGGGATGTGCTTGTATTTGGTGGTAAATGTAAATCACAGAGGGAGAAGAGGGTTATGCCACAGTAAGGGGAAAATAGGTTTTCAAAGGGAGAAAACACTAGATTAAATATTTAAAGTGTTTAAAGCTCAATACGGGGAAGAGATCAGCAAAGCACACCAGGCAGACTATTCTCTAAAGACATTCTAGATGTGGAATTGATTTTCAGTTGAAATCCTTTAAAGTCTATTTAAAACAAGTATTACAACTCTAACATCAGTAAAGCAGCTGGATATTAAATTTAACCAGTTGTTCTTGAACATCTTCCTAAATGTTTCTGCCAAATATTAATCCCTTTTTTGCTAATAGCTTTCTCTACATTGCATTATTCATCAGTGTATTACCAGATGATTTCAAGCTTCTTTCCAGGTTCCAGGATTAGGTCATAAAAGTATCACATGAGAATTTGTCAGCAGCAGTTACAAATGGGATGCAGAACAGAGGAGTCTTTGGGAAATCTTAGGGCTTCTGTTCAGAAGATTAAAATCAAATATTGGACTAAACCGTGCCTGAACACAGTTACTCAGGAGGCTGTGAAAGGCCGGAGGCTATTTTCCTCTCAGCAAGCCGCAGAGGAAGGTGTAACCACCACTTGGTTACTCTGAGAGGAGCTGGTGTAGGCAGGGGAATGGGGCAGATTGTTCAGTCCTGCCTATAAAGTGGCTACTGAATAAATTGCGGAACGGTGGAGAAAATGGTTTGACTCCCCCCAGCTCTGCCCTTAAAGGTAGCATAGTGTAGCTCCAGTATGAGTGAACTGACTTTCAGAAATGTATCTTGTAGGGGCCAATATTTGTGATATAGTTCATGCCATTTAGTAAGGCATCTTCATGCCTTCTGGGGTTGATGTTTTGTATCCTGCAGACAGGACAATTACACACATGAGTAAAGCTGCTGATGCTGGCAAACTGCCTGGCACAAGTCAAATCAGGGTGATTAGGCCCAGAGTTTGCCAGCTCTTTGGTGTTTGCTTTTGTATCTGCAGACTGTGCGGGATGCAGTCAGCTCCGAGTACAGACTGGGTGGGAGCTCAGCGCAATAGCCGCCGGCATTGGGGCTGTCAAAATGGATCCCCCGGGAACCCCACCCTGAGTCGTTGCCCAAGGGGCAGTAGCAGATCAGTGGACCTAACCCATCTTAGCCAGCACTTGCTTGTCCCAAGCTTTAATAACATGTTGCAAATGTGTGTGAATAATTGAAACTAAAATGCTTTGCAGAAAGTAACTGTTAATGGAAGATAACTCTCTGAAAATGTTTCACTCTCTCGCATCTCCATGCTCACACCTCGCTTCACCTTTCTACCATACATCTGGCACATCTATACAACCTCTCTTTCCTCCCCTCATACACAGTCCCTCTTTCATGCCACTTCCTTACAGAAGACACACCAGAGTGCCCTGCAGGTCCAGCAGAAAGCCGAAGTGTTGCTGCAGGCTGGGCATTATGATGCCGATGCTATCAGAGAGTGTGCCGAAAAGGTGGCCCTGCATTGGCAGCAGCTGATGCTGAAGATGGAAGACAGGCTCAAGCTCGTCAATGCCTCGGTGGCCTTCTATAAAACCTCTGAGCAGGTGAGCTGAACAGTATCATATGATATTGCTACGACCTGGGATTTAGCTCCTAGTGTATAGTGCGAAGGTCTTGCCTCCCACCAAGACCAGCAGTGCAGTTTCTCCACTCTTCCAGAGTGTTGAACTGTTCCAAATACCTGCTCTGCTAATACCACTAAGGAGCAGTGCTCATTCTTCTCCCTTTTCCTTGAGTAATCCCAAAAGTAGGAAGAGTGTGGCTTCAGTCAGGCCTGCTTGCCCTTAAAAACTGCCCTTTGCCTTTTTACATATGTTTGCATGTCTTCATCTGCACATTAGGTGCATATAAACCCTTCTGTCGCCTGAATAGGACTAGTGTTGAGCCCTCAGGTGACTCCCAGCTGGTAAACACCAATATGAGTGCACGCCATGACGTAGCAGCGCTGCTAGGTGTGGGTTTTCTACTCTGACTCTGAATGCAAAGGGTCTTCTGCCAGCAAGGGATCTCACAGCACGGGCAAAATTAACTGAGGAGACATTTGCTTTGCTAATTCACACATAGAAACCAAAGTTTGAACTAGTCAAAATTGTTTCTCTGAAAAGTATTGTAACAAAAAACACCCCAAAACAAACAAACAAAGGCAGCAGTTTGCAATAATTTTCCTCTTAAATTTTTCAGTGAAGCAATGTAATTCTTGAAGTTTGTTTTTTTTCAATTGTCCCCTTTCCAACAAGAAGAATTTCTGAAATCCCACCATTTTAGTTTCAAGTTCTCATGATATCAGAGTTAATTTTGAGGAATATAAATCTGCTTTGCCTTGAGAACTGCTTGCAATTAATTACCTGTTATTTTGCATGCAGTACTAGCCAGTGTTTTCACTAGTAGTTAAACACCACCATGCTGAAAAAGATGCCAAGCTTTGAAGGGATTTCTCTTAAACCCATCTGCAACACAGATAATTACAGCAGTAACCATCATATGTCAACATATGTTGAGATATGATGGTTAGTTCTAACTTTACTTCATTCCAGATGTCCATGAATTGCAAAACACATTCCGGTTGGCTGCTGGTGGGGTTATTCATCCCTTGCACAAACAGGTGCCATTTATACTGTAGTTAGTGAGAATTAGTGTCATAGTGCAGATACTCGAATAGCCTTGCCTGATGTAATTTATTGCAGCCAGGCAGTTTGTGTTAGCGTGGACATTGCAGGAACCTGTGGTTTTATACAAAAGGCAGCAGTGATTTCCATTAAATTTTCTATTGTTATTATCACACAGTTGGTTCCTCAATTAGAGAACCAGACATGGGAAGATTTTTAGCACAACTAAATATATCATTATGGAAAGAGATTATTTTTTCATTAACATCAAGGCTGTTGATGGTCCTTGGGCCACTTTTTGGTGTCATTTGTTTAATGCATTTTTAAGATTGTTTAAGATTAATTCATTCCTTATAATGAATGTCTTTCACTGTGAAGAGTTTCAAACAGATTTACAGTCCCTGATGCATTCAAGATTGAAATGAATTACTGCTGGTGGAGGATTGTGAGAAATGAAAACCATTAAGGGATTCATTAGTGCTTTAGACAGTCAAATGTGCTGGACAAACTATGCATAGCCAGTAATTTATCAAGTCGGTCTCTTTAAAAAAAATTCCAAGTCATAGACAAGCATACTGCAGTGCCCACCAGTTCACTCATTAGTTGTGTGTATTCAGCAAATGTTTAGGGCAAAGATCGTTCAGTCTTTGAATGCTCATAAACTCACTGCTGCAAGTAGTCTGTCATCTTCTCTTGGGCTACACGACTGATCTGTGGCCCTTAACGGTCTGCTCCCTGACTGGATGACAGTGGATTCAGTAATTTACTGCGAATTGTCTGAGTATCTAGAAAAAGCAGCTAAAAGGGTGGAGAGATTACTACAGCCCGCCAAACTCTTTCATGCCTGTCTTCCCCGAGCATACAATGTTCTTGATGTAACTGGTGGAACCCCGGCTTTCAAATAGCCCAGTTTCTCTCAGACTTCATTGACAGCCCACTTTATATTAATTTCTCTCATCATCTTAAGAGAGGTGATATTTGCATGTGAAGGGACCATCCTTTCTGAAAAGATGTGGACCCCAGGCAGTCCATCTAACTTTCACTTTTTTAAGTCATCGAAGTCCATTAGAGTACCAAAGTTTTTGAGAACTAAGTAGTAAAATGGAAATGCTTTTCTGTGCCTAAATAACACATGGGGCTCTCCAATAAGTGTTCGAGGGTGAATGCTGATTTGCATCCAAGTAAGAAGATGATTTCAGATTGTCAAACACATAAGGTCCTTGAACAGCCTGGCAGCTGGGTAAGTTGATCAGTTCACCTCAGTTCACCAATCTTAAAATGGAGTTTGATGTGTTCATGAACGGAGTTATATGAAAATGGCCGGCGATAGTGGGGAGGATTGGTGAGTGATGCTGGAGTCTTTTCCAGACTATGCTCTTGAGCATGTAGGGTCTTCTGAATGATAACTGTCTTCATATAAAAATTGCAGAAGTGAGCGAGAAAGGGATAAACATGGTTAGCTAGACCCCCAACAATAACAACTGGATCTTGCATTATCTCAGCAGTGGAGTGTGTAGGAAGAGCCCTCTGAGAGAGAAGAGGGAAGTTCCAAATAGCCCTGAAAACTTCTGCAGTTTTTTTGGTGTCTGCACAGGCCACTAAGAGTCATTCTCAGGATCTGCAATGCAAAAGACTCAGCCTTGTCTGGGGCCAGTGCACACAGTTTCCAGACTGTGTTGGTTTATTTACCTCATTCCCATTATTCTACCAAGATAAAATATACTTGTGTAAGCTCTGTACAGTGGAACACCTGCATCCACCTAGGTTGCGACACTGATTTAATGTCTATCAGTTTCCATCAATCTTTACAAAAGCTGTGTAGGGAGCAACTAACATGCAGCTGAAGAGAATTAGTTCCAGCTTCAGACTTTGTTTCGGGAAAGTATTTAAGCATGTGTTTTTCCTTAAGTATGTGCTAAGTCCCTTGGCTTCAGTGGGATTTAAACACATCTAAAGCAGCCTTCCGGAATAGGGATTGTTTCATGAACGATCCACTGGGGCCAACACTGACCCCTGCCTTGATTCAACCTCTTGAGCTTCCACCCCATTATCCATTGGAAGAGAAGAAGGATTTATCACCCTTAAACTAGATGAATTGCATCCCAAATGGTACAGATCCCTATGGGTAAGAAGAACTGCTGGATCATTCTGTCCAGGACCTGTTTCTTACCCACTTACCCTCCATGCCATGGCCCATAATCCAAAGCATTTAGATTTGAAATGTTATTGGTCATAGACTTTTACTGAATATGTTCCTCCTGATAGTGATTGTAGATAACTGAATTGTTGTGCAATGGGCATGTTTCAGGTGTGCAGTGTATTAGAGAGCTTGGAGCAAGAATACAGACGGGATGAAGACTGGTGTGGAGGTCGAGACAAACTTGGACCAGCAGCTGAGATAGACCACGTCATCCCTCTGATCAGCAAACATCTGGAACAGAAGGAGGCTTTTCTCAAGGTCTCGTTGTAGTACTCTAAAAATTCAGGAAAACTTCCCATTAAGTAGTCAATATAGATCAGTGTTGATGAGTTTGAGAGGAGGCTCTGAGGTGTAATTCTAGTTCAGCTACTGGCTGGCTGTATAAACCCAGGCCAGTTTCACACTGTTATAGTAGGAGTGGTGATTAATAATATGCATTATCATCAATGCATATCTCAGAGAGATGACTTCGGGACTGTTTAGGTGGTATTTGCATTGCACTTGGAGGATATTAGTTGTTGTGCTGGTTCAAAGTTCAAATTCTCAAAATTGCATATGATAAGCATTATAAATGATAGGGATTGTATGGCATCTTGGTGTTGGGCTATAAAAAACATCCAGCATTTCAAAGTCTGTCCTCCAATCCAATAGCTGAAGAACTAGTAACAACTGAAGCAATTGTGTCTCTGCAGGGCAGCACCAGGATGGAAACAGATTTCCTCCTGCCTTCCAGGTGCTGCTTTGTAAGAACTGCAGAGCTGACAGACAGACAAGTCAACTGACAGCCAGCCTCCCACCTTCCACTAAAACTGATATACAACATGAAACTACTCTTGCAGGCAAGGTTTAAGAAATTATGCCTCTAGATTGTACACTTTTTGAATCAATAAGTACTTTTCTTGAGGGATGGGTTAGCTTTGGTTAGATTGAAAATGTATGTGACATACATAATGACAATAATAAATATACTTGTTTTATTATTGTCATTAATTTGCCTTAATATATAAAATAAGCCACTAGATTCTAAATGACTCATGTATTTTAATACATTTATGAGACTGTTAATTTGTTAGCTGAGTTTATTGACTCTTAGCTGAAACTCTCATATTTCCATATGAAAGAGAACTTCACCCTGCAAAATCATCAGAGAATTCCCTTTGCTTTCTTTGCTCATCTTTACTGACTCTTCTTTGGTGGGGACTCTTTTTCTTAGGCCTGTACACTGGCACGAAGGAACGCTGAGGTATTCCTCAAGTATATCCACCGGAACAATGTCAGCATGCCTGGAGTAGCAAGCCATACAAGGGGGCCTGAGCAGCAAGTGAAAGGTTGGTGCACCAGTGCGGTGACAGCATTGAAGGGTTGGTTTGCTTCCCTCTGCTGTGTGGTCATCGTAAAGTTTGTGGACGTGCTGAGAGGCACCTTAAGTTTTGCCATCTGCTGTCAATAAAATTATACATATGCCTGACACCTTTCACAATGGCAGTGAGGCCTCTCAGAAGGTGATCCCTCCTCCACGAGGTGTGCATTCTTACATGGAACTCTGCTGTTGCAAATGGGGGGAGCGCCAAAGGAAAGGCATTTAAAACATGGGCTGCCTCTAGCTTCTCTTGTCGGGACAGTCCATGAGAGTGACATTATGCCATTCCCCATCATGTACGATGATCAGACAGTATTTTGCCTTAATATCTAAAAATGTGTAAATAAGTAAGCACATATCAAATACAAGGTCTAGCTACATCCTGTTGCTGCTGAGCACTGGAAAAAAAATGGACCCCAAATTTGTTTGTTCCTAGGATGGACCTGCTATTCTTTCATCCCTGGAATCCTGTTTGATGTCCTACCCCATCAAACGATTGCCAACAAAAGTATCTGCCTGGAGTTAACTTTCCTTTAGTCAAAAGAGCACTGTTTACAATCAGATGATACACCTGAGATGTTTGAAATGTTTCCACTCCTCTGCTTAATTAAACAGTTATTAATCTGTGCCTAGCAATGCTGCAAGGTACTGATAAGAATGAGCAAAGTGATTCTGCAGAACTAAACCAATTTTTGTTGTTATTATTGTCATTCTCATAAGCTGCAGAAAGATACAGGTTAAAAGCAGTATAGTCATGTATTGTGGGAGGGATGGGAACTTTAGTTATACACAGAAGATTAAAATGGTGCTACTGAAGAGATTATTTCCCTCCTTTCTTTCAATACCAGTTCTTCAATGTTAATTCAACTTGGCTCAACGTTCCCCCTCTGCTGTATCAAATGCTTGTTGTTGTTGTGGACTTTTGTTCCCTACAGTTGAAAATCACAGGAAAATTAATTAAACCCTTATTCAGCAAGCCCTTAAATATGCACCTGATATAAGCTTGTGAGTGTCCCTCACTGAGCTTTTTTGAAATTACTCATTTATATAAAAATCAGTATATTAGTCCTTTTCTAAGATAAACGTGTAATTCTTACGCTTGGTGAGTCTATCCACAGAACATCTTTGAAGTGGACACTTTATTTCAGAATAAAAGCACCATTTAGTAGGATACTTATTGTGCTTCCAAATCAAAGTCATTAATACAGAACAAAATTAGTTTTATTTGGCATAAACTGTTTATGCAGAGACTTGATCTGGAGCACCCATGACAAGCTTCATATTCCTTCTGTCACTCAGACAAGGTTCCCATTGTCCTCAGCAGGGACTGGGCTAGGTTTTGCAATCGACTTAAGTATTACAAATTTTTTTACCATAATCAGTGTCACACTTGTAAATGGGGAGGGATACATCCAAATCTGTTTGCTGCCACCAGTGTTAATACATAAGCAATGAATATTTGTACATTCAAAAAGTGTTTAAGGTGGGAGAAGTTATTAACAGATGCTGTAGATGATCATAAGTCACTGTAAGTGGGTGAGAAGCCAGACTCAATGTTTTAATATATAAAAGAGTGTAGCTGCTGCCTGGACTGCGTGTGCCTAAGACCCCGCTAGTGCATGCTCTGCTTTGAGGATCGGGCAGGAGGGCTGCCATGCCTTACCTGCCGAGGTAGCTACCTGAGCTCCATACCCAGCCACGGCTGGGATGAGCCAGGCTGCTGCCAGCTACACATGACTTAGCTCAGCTAAGTCAGAAAAACTCGGGTTTAACTATGGTTTATGTTAGTGATATAGTGTAAATCTCTTGTGCTCTCTCTGCCTGTAATCTTTTCAGTTAAACCCATGGTACTTTTTAAAGAGTTAAATCACACCTTTTTATCAAGTTGATATGGTTTTGCTGAGCACTTGGGTTTTGAAGGAGAACACGTGTGTCCTAGACTCTCTTCCTGAATCTCGGTGTCTGTCACAGCCCCATCAGACAGAAAACACTTCAGAGGACCAATACCAGCCCTCAACCCAAAATCGTAGCCCAGCAGTAACTGCACGGCGAGCACACAGAGGGTTGCCAGACAGCACAGCTGTATAAGAAACCTTACCATGTATGTCAAACTGGGGGCTCAAGTCTGGATTAAATTCATGACCAGAGCTCTGCATGGGACAACAGGCTTTGGTGCCAAGTGCTGGGGAGCCTGTGGCCAGAGCGACAGACAAGGCAGTAAAAGGGCACCTTCTCCTATTTCAACCAGTACTAGGCCCCTGAAATAAGTAACAGAAGAGAATGGAAGGACTAGAAATCACGTAACCCAGTGTATTTATGGGAGTAAATCCCAAACTCTGTTCTAGCATTTTCTTCTTTACCAGAAGTTTGGGGGTGGGGGTGGGGGGGGCAGGTGGTGGTATTTGTTTGTGGTTGGTTTTTTTTTTTTAATCAATGCTTGTTTTTAAGAAGTACAGTCCCAGGGGCTCTGCTCCGGAGAACGTGGTCCAGGCAGAGTAAATTTAGCTCTTTATGGCTTATTTCTGCATGCACTCGCAGAATGGCTCATCATGCAGACATTTTCCTTTGCCCTACAGCCATTCTGAGTGAGCTGCTGCAGAGGGAGAACCGGGTTCTTCACTTCTGGACCCTGAAGAAGCGAAGACTAGATCAGTGCCAACAATATGTTGTCTTTGAGCGCAGTGCCAAGCAGGTAGTGTAAAAACCCTGCTTTGTCTTTGTGTCCTGGCAGTGTGTAAATATTTCTTGTATCCATGTAATGCATCTGTGTGCGGTTCCTGTTGCAATCTCAAGTTTTATTTAAAAACTGTAACTTTTGAAAACATGGTAAATGTAGATTTTTAAAACAATTTAAGAAAATACCAAAAACCAACAACAAAGTTCAGTATTTTTGCCAGATCAAGTTAATTTCTGGATTTGTTCATCGGTTTGAAAATGAATATAAGAGCAAGCTTGTTTTATTGAGCTATTACTGAATGAGAAAACTGCTTTCCCTGTATGCAGATTTACCTGTGTATAGGTAGAATTCCCTA